CTATAAGATCTGTACTCGCCATGGAAGAAAGTATTGATGAAAATAATAGAGAGGAAAAAAAATGTCGGTTTTAATCGAACTCGTTCATCGAAGAAGTAATATATAGTAATTTTAAATATATATTATAACAATGATTAGTAATTAACGACTAAAGCGAATTGCGAGGCGTTCGATTAATCGAGGCACGATGTAAAAGTAAAGTAACGTCCGGGAAATTCAAGAATAATGAAGTTAGGAGATATAAGTGGTACCAACGATTATTATTAGTGATAATGCTATTAAAAGCTACAGCGAGACTCGTCCAAGTGAACAACTTCTGATGTGGTCAGACAGACACGCTTAGACGAGTCTCGAGCGAAGGCGAATCTTTGGCGCGTATTATAAAAGTGGTGAAAGAGAAAAAAAAAAAAACCAGAGAAGTTAGTCAATTCATGCCTCATGCATTCGTCAGTCAATTTGTCGAATTTTTAAAAAGTGTAATGCTAGTGTGAGCAAGCGAACCTTATCGAATGTATAAACAACGAAGTAACAAAAGGTTTCTAATGTAAAACAACGAATGATGTAGAAAAAAAACGCTTGCGTGCAAGGTGAGATTTCTTTTTTTTTAATGTTACAAAGGTTATTGGTTTTACAAAGCGCTATGTAAATGTTTTCAACGCGCTGCGTTGTTCACTCGATGCACTCTCAATTGCGTTTTTTTTTCCGTTTTCGTAAGGTACGAGTTGAGCGACTTACTATGGTTTGCGTACTTTTTTAAGCGAAAATGGGTTTTCTATAACTCTATTGATGAAATTTTTTGATTACTATTGCGTAAGGTAATTTTTGATAAAATTATTAACGTTACAATTAGATTGTCCAATAATTTTTATACTTGCCTTGATTAGGATAGACGAAAGGAGAGGATGAAAAAACAAAAAATGTTTAAGAATAAGGCTTTGATATGAAAAACAATGTGATTGTATTGTGATTATGTAGATATCGTTTTTATAAACTAATTTTTAAGAGTCCACTTTATAGAAAACCCATTTAAGCAGTCTTTTAGATTTCAGTGACGATTAGTTAGTCGAAACAAGAAAAATGTGAAAAAAATTCAATAGTAGCCAAACAATGTAATGTAAGAGATACAGCGATGCTTGTTCCAGAAATGGAGATAAAGAAAGAAAGAAAGGAAAAAGTGGGAATGTGACGTTTGAAGTGAGACCGCGGCGAGCGAGTACCGTATTTTTTGTAAGGCGCACGTGCCGTGCGAAGATTGTGATAAACTGCGAGCTCGCGACAGCCTCCCTTCTTACGCATTTTTTTTTTTTTTTCTTCTTATTGTATACATTTACCCGGCAGCCAATGAGTTTTACGCGAACGGAAGGATAAAGAAAAATCGAAGCAATGATAGATCAACATGGCAAAACTGTCGCGAAGGTAGTGATGATCCGTGACTTTTTTTGTTAAAAGTCGTCATCGTTCTTGTTGTTGTATTATTATTTTTATTATTATTATTATTATTGTTGTTATTCTTATATGAAATATTACGTTTTTTAACGTATGAAAAAAAAAAAAATCATAAAAAGAGTTTTTGAGTTTCTACTAAACATGTAATATACAAAATAATAGCAATAATCGACGTGTGGAGAAAAAATTCGCGATAAAATTTTAACGCGGACCAAAGCATAATGGAACGTGTTTACTAGTGTTTTGGGAAGAAAAAAAAATGTATAAAATATATTATAACAAAACGCAAGCTTGGTGCTTTTTTTGCGGGAATGAGTAAATAAGTATTTGAGTAACACAGGCTTTTGGTTTTACTTGTGAAACATGCCTTTATAATAAGATTAATTCGTCAAATCGCAAACCGAGCCAATAAAAAGTTACTAATGTAATAATCCCCTGTGCGATCATTCGACAAAAACATGATGCTTTGTTATGTTGCGCAATTTTTTTGTTCGTAAAAAAAAAAACAAAAAAAAAACAAAAAAAAAAGTTTTTAGTGAATATAAGTGAAAAATATGATGTACGTTTAAAATTGTTCAAAAATAAAGCCACTGAAAGCTCTTGACTAGGTGTTCTTATCTAATCATCTTATATGCGACCGAATCTGAAGTCAATCATCGGCTCGACGAACAATAAGTGTTTTGGACTAATACTGCGTGTATATTATGACTAATGAAAAATAAAAAACTTTAACACTATTCTTCGATTCCTTAAGTATACACTTCTTTATATACGTATATAAAATCGTGCCGTTAATCCTGTAGTAATCCCCTTAAACTAAAGCTAACTTTTGGAGAAAAAAAATTACTATTCCCTCGTGGTGCGTAACTTGAGGATAAAATGTCTTTCCGAATTTGACTTCAGCTTACGTCGATGTTTCAACTCTCAGTCGCGCAGCAAAGCCAATGCTTGATAGTGAATAAATGAAAAAATTAAGAAATAAAAAAAAAAAAGATGAAGAAAAGAACGCAGTTAATAACGACGCTTCAGCGATTGTTGTTAATCGTCTTGTACTGTTTATCGTATATCAGTGTCGTACATAAAAAAAAAAAAAAAAAAACCAGAGAAGTTAGTCAATTCATGCCTCATGCATTCGTCAGTCAATTTGTCGAATTTTTAAAAAGTGTAATGCTAGTGTGAGCAAGCGAACCTTATCGAATGTATAAACAACGAAGTAACAAAAGGTTTCTAATGTAAAACAACGAATGATGTAGAAAAAAAACGCTTGCGTGCAAGGTGAGATTTCTTTTTTTTTAATGTTACAAAGGTTATTGGTTTTACAAAGCGCTATGTAAATGTTTTCAACGCGCTGCGTTGTTCACTCGATGCACTCTCAATTGCGTTTTTTTTTCCGTTTTCGTAAGGTACGAGTTGAGCGACTTACTATGGTTTGCGTACTTTTTTAAGCGAAAATGGGTTTTCTATAACTCTATTGATGAAATTTTTTGATTACTATTGCGTAAGGTAATTTTTGATAAAATTATTAACGTTACAATTAGATTGTCCAATAATTTTTATACTTGCCTTGATTAGGATAGACGAAAGGAGAGGATGAAAAAACAAAAAATGTTTAAGAATAAGGCTTTGATATGAAAAACAATGTGATTGTATTGTGATTATGTAGATATCGTTTTTATAAACTAATTTTTAAGAGTCCACTTTATAGAAAACCCATTTAAGCAGTCTTTTAGATTTCAGTGACGATTAGTTAGTCGAAACAAGAAAAATGTGAAAAAAATTCAATAGTAGCCAAACAATGTAATGTAAGAGATACAGCGATGCTTGTTCCAGAAATGGAGATAAAGAAAGAAAGAAAGGAAAAAGTGGGAATGTGACGTTTGAAGTGAGACCGCGGCGAGCGAGTACCGTATTTTTTGTAAGGCGCACGTGCCGTGCGAAGATTGTGATAAACTGCGAGCTCGCGACAGCCTCCCTTCTTACGCATTTTTTTTTTTTTTTCTTCTTATTGTATACATTTACCCGGCAGCCAATGAGTTTTACGCGAACGGAAGGATAAAGAAAAATCGAAGCAATGATAGATCAACATGGCAAAACTGTCGCGAAGGTAGTGATGATCCGTGACTTTTTTTGTTAAAAGTCGTCATCGTTCTTGTTGTTGTATTATTATTTTTATTATTATTATTATTATTGTTAT